ACAAATAGTCCTATTATTGTCCTATTATTGTCCTATTGTTGTTTAGTTTGTTCGTATCGCCAGTATCGCTCGAATCGTCTACTTGTGTTGCTATTGTAAAAAACGTAAAATATGGCTGAGCATGGGGTCCAATTTACAAGGTAAGAAATTAATATTATACATTTACTAAAATGTACTACTTTATAATGTTATTTATATATAATTGTTCATTTATCTAAATCGTAAAATAATTGTATTCAAAATCGCCGCGAGATGGTGATAAATTTGACCGTCCTATATGTAGGACGTCAGGATTATGCACTGTTATGGCATGAAAGTTATAAATTTGAATAATTATAGTAATCAATGTACCGATATCAGAAAGGATGCTCTTAGTTCAGCTAAACACAACTCCCATAAAAACAAACATTTTTCAAGTATATGCTCTTACAGTGGACGCCCCAGAAGAAAGTATAGAAGAATTTTACAATGACCTTACTAATATTGTGAAAAGGATTCGGCAAAATGAAATAATACTAATAATGGGAGACTTTAATACCAAAGTTGGCAAAGGACAAAGTGGAAATTTAGTGGATCCTTTGGTCTAGAGGAACGTAATGAAAGCGGAGACCGTTTGATTCAATTTGCAACTGAAGAACAGCTCTTAGTGACAAACACCTTTTACGATCTTCCTTCAAGACGACTATATACGTGGAAATCTCCCCAGGATACTCCAGATCACACAGTACGAAATCAAATAGACTATATTCTTATTAACAAACGATTTAGAAACTCTATAACATCTGTTAAAGCGTACCAGGGATCCGACATAAATTCGGACCACAATCCACTTATCGCCAAAATAAAACTTAGTTTAAAGAAAGTTCAAAGACCAAAATTTACGAAGTACGATATTAACCAACTGAAAAATAAAACAGTAAAGGAAAGGTACAAAAACGCCTAAAAGAAAAAACGTAGGCTCGTACAGAAAAACCATGGGCTCGTACAGAAATAGATAACACAGATGTAGAACTAGAAAATTTGCACAAAGTAAGTCAAGAAATAAGAGAAAATACTTAAAACCTGAAAGAACGAAGAAAAAGGAATGGATGACGGAGGAGATTCTATGTATGATGGAAGACAGAAGAAACGCTAAAGATAATAAGAATTACTACAACAACATAAATAACGAAATAAAAAGAGCTATTAAAATAGCAAAAGAAAATTGGTTTAGCTCGAAGTGTACAGAGATAGAGTCATTACAACAAAAACATGATTCATTTAACCTCCATAAAAAGATTAAAGAAGCGGCAGGCTTATATAAACACAAGAACACTCGATTCCTGACAGATAATCAGGGAAACATAGTACTGGAAATAGAGCATAAAAGGGATATTTGGATTAAATACGTGGAAAAAACTTTTGAAGATGTACGAAGTAATACTGGTATTACAACAAACACCAATTGCGAATCTGGACCACCATTTACAGTCGAAGAAGTAAAATATGCCATCAAAAGCACCAAAGATGGTAAAGCAGTAGGCCCTGATAATTTTCACTCAGAATTCTTAAAACTTATGGACTATGATGGCATAAAATGGTTGACAAATATATTTAACAATATATATGATACAAGCATAATTCCCCAAAAATGGTTAGTGTCAACTTTTATAAATCTTCCAAAAAAACCCAATGCGAGAAAGTGCGAAGACTATAGAATTATAAGCCTTATGAGCCATTTACTTAAAACATTTCTAAAGGTCATTCACAAAAGAATATATACAAAATGTGAGGTACAACTAACAAGAACACAATTCAGATTTCGTGATGCTCTGGGAACACGGGAGGCCCTTTTTGCTGTACAGGTGCTATTTCAGAGATGCAGGGATGTGAATTGTGACATATACGTATGCTTTATAGATTACCAGAAGGCATTTGACAGAGTAAAACATGACAAATTAATGACTCTAATGCAAGAAATTGGAATTGACAACAAAGATCTTAGAATTATCAGAAACATTTACTACAATCAAACGCCAAAATCAAAATAGAAACCAGTTAACTGATAAAATTACAATAGAACGTGAAGTACGACGTGGATGTATTTTGTCTCCATTGTTGTTCAATATTTATTCTGAATGGGTATTTAAGGAAGCTTTAGACGGTTTTGCGAAAGGAATACTAATAAACGGTGAATGGTTGAATAACATTAGATATGCAGATGACACTATAGTTTTTGCCGATAATCTGAATGACTTACAGATATTAACAAATCGCATAACAGAAGTCAGCAACAGATACGGACTAGCTCTTAACATAAAGAAAACCAAATTTATGACAATTAGTAAAAAACCAATACTAAACGCTCAACTTACAATCAACCAACAGAATATCGAAAGAGTCGAGCAATATACATATCTAGGCACCAATTTAAATAGCCAATAGGATCACTCAACAGAAATTAAACAGCGAATAATAAAAGCAAAAGCAGCATTCGTTAGAATGAGAACCATTTTCAACAGTCGAGACATATCATTAAAAACAAAATGCCGTCTATTGAACTGCTACATATTCACAGTTCTGCTCTACGGAATGGAAGCGTGAACACTGACTGTTGCATCTATGAATCGGCTCGAAGCTTTCGAAATGTGGTGTTATAGGCGCATCTTACGTATATCCTGGGTTGACAGAGTTACTAATGTGGAGGTCCTGCGTAGAATGGGGAATATGTGAAATTCTCATGACCGTCAAAACTAAAAAGTTGGAATATCTAGGACATGTAATGAGAAATCAAGAACGTTACGGCCTTCTCTAGCTGATTCTTCAAGGGAAGGTAACTGTTAAGAGAGGACCGGGAAGAAGACGCATTTCCTGGCATCAAAATTTACGAAAGTGGTATAACACGACTACCACTGAACTGCTCCGCACTGCAGTAAACAAAGTAAAGATAGCCGTGATGATCGCCAACATCCGGAACGGATAACCACTTTAAGAAGAAGACGAAGAAATTAATCAATGGCTTTCTTTGCTTATTTTACTTGGTATAAATATCAAAAGAATTTGTTGATAGTGTTACGAATATGCTGCTTTTATTTTTTCAGGGGTTTTCTTTAGATGACACCTTTTAGATGTCGGAAGAAAATAAATTTCTCCATTCCTAAGCTGATATAGTTCTGTTACCTTCGAAATATTTCGCTAAAATAGATGAGGTTAAAGAAGAAAATATGTCTTTAAATATATTAAGAACAGTAGCTGAAACCCATGTACCACGTTGAGTTAACTCCGACTCAAATTCCACGGCAATACCACTGATCCACCAATAATTGGTCAGAGGACAATGATCTCAATACTGATATAGAAGATACACTAATACACTGGTTCATGAAGTTGGTCGATAAAGAAATTTTTAATTTACTGGTTGTCGAATCTAATAGATATGCAAGTATAAAAAATAAGCCTATATTATGTATCCAAGAAATTAAAGCATTCATAGCAATTCTTATCCTTAGTGATTATGATTATTACCCAAGAAAAAAGATATATTGGGAAAAGGATAAATATGTTTATCCTAGTTTCTCGAGTACTATCTAGGGATAGGTTTGATTTTATAATGAGCGTTCTACATATAACCGATAATAATAATAATTTGGACCATTCTGACAAATTCAGTAAAGTTAGGTTAGTACATCAAAATTAAAAAAAAATGCTGTTTTAGAAGAAAACCACAGCGTTGATGAAGCAATGGTTCCTTATTTCGTGCATCACGACTGTAAGCAGTTTATAAAGGGTAAACCGATAAGATGAGGATCTAAACTTTGGGTTCGATGTAACAAAAATGAATACTTGACGTGGTTTGAACCATACCACACACCATCATCACACGTATCGCCTTAATACGAGGATTTTGGTGTCGGTGTAGGTGTGGTACTCAGTTATGTTGATATTCTTAGATCAAATTGGAAGCTGAAAAAATGTCACTTATTTTTTGAAAACAATTTCAGTACTTTAGTACTTTCTTTATTTGAAATGCCAACGAAAGAAAATATCAGAGAAACAGGAACCATAATAGTAACAGATTACCAAAAAATCTGCTGAAATCAGCAAAGTAGTTACAAAAAGATCAAAGAGGTTCATATGATGCTAAGTTTGACGCAAATAACAAATTGACTATTGTCAGCTGGCACGATAATAGTGTTATATCGCTGTGCTAGAACGCAGTTGGTGCAAATTATATTCATAAAGTAAAGCGATACTCGCGACACAAAAAAAAACCGATACTTATTCCCCAACCATTTATGGAAAAATTATATATTTGAAATATGGGCGGCGTAGATCGATGCGACCAAAACGTAAGTTTACATAGAACTGGTATTCGAAAAAAAAGTGGTAGTTCTGTTTGTTTACTTATTGTATCTATTTGGCTATACAAAACACTTGGCAACTACATTAAGCAATGAGGGCACTTTGAATGAATTAGCTTTTCACAAAGTGTCAAAAATGTGATGTTGATGTCCTGGTATGCTGCTTTATAAGTTAATGTAATACTTGATCCTAACGTCCTAGATGTAGGACACTTTTTTTGTACATTAAGATTTTTTACAATATTATTTTAGTAACGTACGTGGTTGTTCTAAATAAAATATATTAATAACAAAAAATTGCAATTTTATTACAATTTGTTATGTCAGGGTTATCTGGGATAATTTAGGAATCGTTTACATCTATCATTATTCTCTTTACTGTTATCCGTAGACTTAGTTGTCCTTTTAAAATACATTTCCTTATAAGTTGCTTCATAAGTACTATAAATATTTAATTTTTTCATACCTTTTTAGTTCTTCATCTTCCATACCTTCCAAGAACTTATTGTTATAATCTCCGTTCTTTAAAAGATGGTTTTCAATTTTTCAGCATTCAGCATTCAGCATAACGGTGTTATTTAAAGTTTTGATTTAGATATTAAATATTTGTTTTCTTTTCAGATTCGGATATCCCAAAGACGCGTCGCCGACGACAGTGGCGGGTGAAGTCGGCACCACCTCGCTCTCAGCACGGCTAACACCACCACGACCCCCAGCCAACAACAACCTCCTCCGATGTCTATGGATAGTGGTGGTGGTGGTGGGGGTTCGATAGGAACCGGTTACGGGGGCGGAGGGGAGGTGTTGACCGTTCGCCGGTGGGAACCGATGCCTCCGCCCCCAACTGGTGATCAATCCATGGCAATGGATAATAAAGAACAGTTGCGGTACTCTTCCATTCCGCAGATCTCGATGACGTCGGGTCTTTTACAATCCGCCTCGCAAGTGCCGCCGATGAATCAACCGCCCCCGCCTCCCCCACCGCCGCCGCCTTTGCCATTGCAGTTACAACGGCCTTATTCAAGGTAAGTCAAAATGTTCTTCTTTTTCTTCACGTACCATATCAGAAATATCCGACGTTGGCGATCACCATTGCGAACGCTTCTCGATCTTCTGCAATATGAAATAATTGTCCTGCATTTGGTATCTGAGTCCATTCACGAATGTTTTTTAACCAAGAAACTTGTTTTCTTCCTACACCTCTACGGCCCTCTAGTTTGCCTTTAAGGATCAGTTGTAAAATTTTATATCGACTTCCCCTTACTATATATCCCAGATACTTCCTCTTACTATATGTCAAAATGTTATTAACTTTAATTAAAATTACAGTCAAACCTGTGTAAACTATAATCGTGTGATCGGGAACCAATTTTTCGGTACCAAGGAAACTGCCTCTTATCAAGTTAGATTTTTATAATACATTACACACGCACCAAAATCTATGTCATACAAAAAATTTTGTATCTAGACAGGATCAGGATTATATAGGTTTCATCATAAGAATTTCAATTCCTACAATAATCTTAGTTTCAATAGTAATATCTTTTGAAGTTTATGTACAAGAACCATCAGTATATTTGCTTTTATCCCTATGTGAGGTTAGCTTTCCCATTTATCTTCTTCCTAACGTGCCCCATCGCTAAGCACATTGACGATCATCATGGCCCATTTGACTTATCTGAAGCCGTTTTGAAAAGTTCTATTGACGTTTTCCCACTCCATTGTCTCAGATTCTTCAACCAGGACGTGCGTCTTCTCCTCGGTCCTCTTTTGCCTTCCACCTTCCCTTGTATGATCAGTTGCATCAATTCGTATTTCTCGTTTCTTAGTATGTGACCAAAGTAGCCATTTTTTTTTTTCTTTATAGTGTTGAGTATTTCTTTATCTTTTTTCATTCTTCGTAGCGTTTCCGCATTTGTTATGTGTTGTGTCTAAGATATTTTTCACATTATTCGATAACACCACATTTCAAAGTGAATGATTCTTTTTTTATGTCGCCTCTGTAATTTTCCAGTCCTTAACTCCATACAACAGAACAGAGAACACGTAGCATCTCAATAGTCTAGTTCTAATTTTAATGTTGAGTTTTCCATTGCATAATATTGCTTTCATCTTATTAAAAGCACTTCCAGCTATCTCAATACGCCGTTTTATTTCCGTACTTCTATCCATTCCATTCTTCATTTATTTCGCAACTCAAGTACTGATATCTGTGCACCCTGTCTAAAAGTTTTCTTTTAGCATAAAAACTGTCTTCCTCAATCTTGTTCTTGCTTACCACCATGATTTTTGTTTTATTTGTATACAGTGACATCACAGTATTGAGCAATGCGATTAACCAAGAGTTTTTTGCCTTTCATTTACGTCTTCTAATGCCTCTTTAAACAATTCTTTTGAATGCATACAAAAAGGAAAGGGGAAAGCACACAGCCTTATCTTACTCCACGATTTATAGGTAGGGTAGATCGGGGCTAGTTGTGACAGGGGCATGTTGTGACAAATAGTTTTATAGACTAACCATAGGTAGCAGCGTCGCCCGGTTACCCAGAATTCCACGTCCGCATGTCCTCAGTCTGTTTGTGTAGTTTGGTTGTGATGCTATGCGTTTCTGCCGCTTTATAAAATTATATGTCATTTCGTTGTAACGAAGTAAAATTTTGCTGTTGTCTTTGAATTGTTATTTCACTTTCAAACCACAAGGTAAGAAACTTATTCTAGTTGTAGTAGATAGTTTGTTTATTTCTCTCTAGTAAGACACAGTTTGGTTTCTATACGACGTGTCAAGGTCTGTGCAAGTGGCTTTATGTAAAATGGCGTACGGTGGGGCTAGTTGTGACGAAAGGCTTGGGGCAGATTGTGACAGTGTCACAACATGCCCCTACTAATTTTAATGCATGTTTATGGGTTTGTTACAGATAATGGTGAGAAATTATAAAAGGAAAACGGAACGTGGTCGGAGTAATATAAACAGTTACGAGTCGGCTTCGTTAGATGTTAAGTCTGGATCGTGTAGTTTAAGGCAAGCAGCTGAAAAATATGGCGTTAACCGGATGTCCTTACTTAGATATATAAAAAAACAACAAACCAATCCAGATGGAGTGGTAGAAATGGGTTACAAAAGACCTCGAATGATATTTTCACAACAACAAGAAGAAGAGCTCTGTGAATATGCTGTTCAGGCAGCGAAAATATTTTATGGTATTAGCCCAAAAGAAATGAAAAGTTTAGCTTTTGAATTTGCTATAGCGAACAAAGTTCTTGTGCCTGAGAATTGGGTAGCAACAAAACACGCCAGTAATGATTGGTTTACAAAGTTCATGCAACGTAACAATAATGTGTCTATTCGTGTTCCTGAGGCTACCAGCTTAAGTCGGAGTACAAGTTTCAACAAGCACAATGTCGGACTCTTTTTTGATAACCTCGAATTAGTATTAAGTCAAAACCATTTTACAGCTAATGATATTTGGAATATAGACGAGACAGGGACTGGGACTGTCCAAAAACCGGTAAAAATCATAGCGAAGAAAGGCGAGAAAAGAGTTGGTGGTGTCACTTCAGCTGAGAGGGGGACCAATGTTACTATGGTTCTTGCTATTAACGCAGAGGGTAACTCAGTTCCTCCTATGTTCGTTTTTCCACGTAAGTTTTACAAGGAGCATTTTGTACGTGATGGGCCAGTAGGTTGTTGTGGTACTGCTAACCCAAGTGGCTGGATAACAGGCCCGGACTTTTTGTTTTTTATGAAGCATTTTGTAAAAAAAGTAAGGTGCTCAAAGAAATCACCGGTTTTAGTTCTGTTAGACAACCACAGTGCTCACCTATATATCGAAGTCCTTGACTATTGTACAGAGCACGGTATTACTCTCTTATCGTTCCCTCCCCATACAACAAATAGACTTCAACCACTGGATGTTTCCGTTTTTGGTCCATTTAAGAAGTTTTTAAACGACGCCATGTGTGGATGGATGAAATCTCATCCTGGAAACACAGTCTCAATTTATGACATCCCAAGTATAGTGAAAACAGCATTACCTAAAGCTGTAACACCAACAAATGTTCAGGCAGGATTTCGTTCTACAGGAATATGGGAATTCAATAGAAACATTTTTAATGAAGAAGACTTTCTGTGTTCTTCGGTGACCGACCGACCTTTGAATAGGCCTATTGACATCGTAGATGGTAATGAGGAAGCCAGTGCTGGGCAGCTTAAAGAGTTTCAGCATCTCGATGAACCTGAACCGTCGTCATATTATGCTAACCAGCCAGGACCCCCATACTATCCCAACACAAGGATCATCGCAGGCCAACCTACCAGGATCATTCCATGCCGAAGTTCTGCCTGTCAGCCCTATGGATATAAGACCTCTGCCAAAAGCTGGTCCTCGAAAAAATAAAAAACGCAAGAGCTTAACATCTGCAATTTTGACTAGCACACCTGTCAAGGAGACAATTCGCAGTGAAGAGTTAAAGAGGAAGGAAACAATAAAGTGCAAAGAGGATAAAATAAAGAAAAAATTATTTGACTCAAAACAACTGTTGCCTAAGAAAAAAGCAGCGCCAAAGAAAGAGACCGCAACAAGAAAAAGAGAAGACAGCTCAGAAGAAGAGGAAGAAGATTACTTTTGCTTAGTTTGTATGGGACCATATAAAAAGTCTAGGTTAGGAGAAGACTGGGTGCAATGTATGGAATGCAAGAGGTGGGCTCATGTAAAGTGCACAAAAGATGATCTTTATTATGTTTGTATAAACTGCCACTCTTCAGAACTACAAGTAGAATCAGCACAAATTGACGATAGCGATTAAGTTTTTTATTTTACTTTAAATTCACTAGATGTTTTTCTACACATTTGTTTCTTACATAAACATTTATCAAACATTTATGTATCTATACTTAACTATAAAATAAATTTATTATGGAAACTTTGTTATTATTCTCCAACTAAAGTTTATTATATTTAAAAATATTTACTGTCACAACCTGCCCCAAGTTCGTCACAACTTACCCCATATTGGGGCAAATTGTGACAATATGTGCATTTTGTAAAACTATTTACATACTGTAAGGTATTGCTTAAAAATTGCTGATGTTCCCAAATAATGATTCCCAATTAAAAATAGTACCTCATTAAAGTAATCTAACAGCCCTAAAAATTACGAAAAAAATGTTAAAAATTATTTTGTCCAAAGTGGCACAACTAGCCCCAGTCTACCCTATTTCTTTCGATTTTTGTTGGTCTCTTCGTATTATGACTTTCTGATATCGATATAGATTGGCAATGGTTCTCACGTTCTCGTCATCTTATTCTTTGTTCTGCGGTATTTTTGCCATTCTTCGGTGTTGTACTTTGTCGAAAGCTTTTTCGAAGTCGACTAGATGTATAAATACGTCGCAATTGACATTTCGACATCGTTCGATTAGTGTTTGTACAGTAAAAAATTTTTCTCTGGTGCCAAAGTCTTTTCTAAATCCCAATTTGCTTTCAGCTATTCTATCATCTAGTTTTTATAGATTCGTTTTTCTTCTTCAAGTTCCACTCCTATCGGAGATTGAAAATCATTCTGGCAATTATAATTTTATTGGTTACTCGCCTGAATAGTTCAATTGAACTGCATCCAAACCACTCACGGAGATTGCGTAGCCACGAGATTTTACGTCTTCCTACGCTTCTTCTACCTTTGATTTTGCCCTGCATTATATCCCTTAGTAGTTCGTACCTTTCACCTCTCATGATGTGCCATAAGTATTCCAATTTCCTGATCTTTATGGAATTTAAAACTTCGCATTGTTTTCCTAGTTGTTCGAGAGCTTGTTCGTTTGTTTTGCGATCCATCCATGATATTTTCAAAATGCGTCGGTAACACCACATTTCGAATGCTTCTAGGTTTTTAATGTTGGATTTTTTAAGTGTCCAAGCTTCAACTCCATACAAAAGGGTAGAGAAAATATAACATCGAAGAATTCTTATCCGGAGCGATATATTGATATCGCGATTACAAAAAAGTTTTCTCATTCTATTAAAAGTTG